TTTTAAATTATAATCAGAAAGTAGTTTTTAAAACGTGAATTTTATGCCAGAAAGTATACGTTTATATCAAGGGACGCGGTAGCGTCCCGAAGGCAAGTTTGAGTCTGAAGATTGCAGCTTGTCGTCGGGTACCGCGTCCCTTATATACACGTAAATTCGTGTTCGATTTTTTTCTTTTATGTATTAGGATTAAATCTTTGGCAATTTGTCAATGGTTTGAGGTTTTTATGAAGTTTTATATGCTGCTTTTTAATTTAAAACAAGTTTTATTTAAAAATATGTTATTAATACGGAAATAGATTTGAAAATTCACTAGAATTTCAGAAAAAAGCCGATTTCAACATATTTTTTCGTCTCCCCAGATTGTTTTTACCACGAAGGTAGCTGAATAGCTGAAAAAATGAGAGTAACCAACTTACAAATTTGTTTACTACATATTTTTTGATTTTATTAACGACTGAATTTTGATGAATTTTGATGAACGATTGAAAGTGGTTAGTTTATCAAGGGATGCGATAGCGTCCCGAAGGCAAGTTTGTAATAAAGCAGAGTCGTTAGTGTGTTTATCCGTGTTTAATTTAATCTCCTTAATTAATTAAATTAACGCAATTGAAAATGGAGTTTATTCAACGGGATATTTTAGGGTAGATCGTTCTGTCGGCTACGAAGAATCGAAGAAGATTTACATAACCCTGTTTTTATAATTAACCTCAAGTATTAACCTCAAGTAAAAATGTAAAAGCATGTTTTAAAAATGTAATAATATGATGATCGATTAAATTTTATTTGAAAAAACGTTGTTATTTTATTAAATATAAAATAAAATATGATTAATTAGAGTTTCACATTAAATATATTTTATTTTAATGATATGTAGTTAGGTCGGTGTATATAAAAAATAACAGTGTGTTTAAAAGAAAATCTTATTTCTAGTTTTCTGATACAACTCCAAGAAAGTCGTGAAATCCCCCAAAAAATTAACCCTTTCATGAAACGGTAAAGAAATGGGCAAGTTTGAAATGTCTGGTTCCTATTCCAACGAAATCCTTCTTACATTGCTTTCGTTCATAATTTTAAGTAGCAATAATATAATAAATATTATAGCCTTGTGAAAAGAAGCACCTGAAAGTTGTGAAATCAACGAAAGACGTCAAGTTCCCCATTTACTTATTATCATCATAATTATAAACAATATTCAACTAAATTTAAATAAAACAATTATATTTTTGTCAAATTGAGAACTAGAAAGTAATGAAATCGTAGTAACAGTTGTCAAGTTTCGCTCATAAGTTTATTATTTAAATACATATATGGGGAGCCAATTGCTGTTGACCAACGACGTATCAGCGTTCTCCTATATGTGATTTCTACGCTTTCCCCTCTACTACCGAATACGTATTGTCCGATTCTACATCAACGCCTATAAAAATGCGTGATCTTCAACAATAATCCTCACTGTACGTCCCGCTACTGCTACTATATGAAAAATAGTGGTGGAAGGGCAAGCACACATTGCACATAAACCTAGTAAATCATGAAATCAATGTAAACTTGCAGCACAATAGAGCAAAAGTAAGCGCTCCGTTCTATCATCTACTTTTATTAATAGAATATAAAGCTACACAATCCGAAAGGTGATGTGTTAATTAATAAAAGTATGTTGCGATAGACTAAAACAATTTCTTTTTAACATTCAATTTCAAAATACAATTATATTGGTAATTATTTATCAAGACATGTCAAAAATAAGAGTATATTTTGCGACAGAGTAAGGGTTCTCTATTTAGCTACTTTTGCTCTATTGTGCTGCAAGTTTACATTGATTTCATGATTTACTAGGTTTATGTGCAATGTGTGCTTGCCCTTCCACCACTATTTTTCATATAGTAGCAGTAGCGGGACGTACAGTGAGGATTATTGTTGAAGATCACGCATTTTTATAGGCGTTGATGTAGAATCGGACAATACGTATTCGGTAGTAGAGGGGAAAGCGTAGAAATCACATATAGGAGAACGCTGATACGTCGTTGGTCAACAGCAATTGGCTCCCCATATATGTATTTAAATAATAAACTTATGAGCGAAACTTGACAACTGTTACTACGATTTCATTACTTTCTAGTTCTCAATTTGACAAAAATATAATTGTTTTATTTAAATTTAGTTGAATATTGTTTATAATTATGATGATAATAAGTAAATGGGGAACTTGACGTCTTTCGTTGATTTCACAACTTTCAGGTGCTTCTTTTCACAAGGCTATAATATTTATTATATTATTGCTACTTAAAATTATGAACGAAAGCAATGTAAGAAGGATTTCGTTGGAATAGGAACCAGACATTTCAAACTTGCCCATTTTTTAAATGTACTTTGGTTTTGCTTTTCTCAGCCGGAATTCGTGTTTGTTCATCGTTTATTATATTCTCATAATAATTTCATTGTGTGATAATGCCATTAGAGCATGCACGTGCATTCGCATTTTATGAACAGTTATCGCTCCGTGATGGCTTTTTGCTCAAATTTAGCAAGTAGAATTAACCATAACTATTACTGACACCAGTCGCCATATGTCCCGTACGATTTTAGAAAAGAGTTGACTTAAGGGGGTAAGTGACTAAAGTCAAGATATAAAGGGTATTTTTTAATTTTCATGTATCAATTCGAAACCGCTAATTAACCAGCGTGAAATTTATTTTGTTTCTAAAAGATGTGACAAACAAACTATTCTGCTGACGGAGCTTCGAATAATTCAGGTGTTGTAGAATGATTTTACGCAATATCAAATAGTTGGGGTGACAAAATATTTGTTGCTTTTATTATTTGCTAATTTCGTTTTCACGAGAATTATTACGAGTAAAATTTACTCACTTCCTTCTTAAAGAACATCTTTATTCTTTCTTGCACGGAGAAACTTTTCTTCCCTCTTGTCATAATGTAAACGTTGCCAACTGTCTCAGGAGCTTCTCCAAGATGAGGCTGCCATAGAAACCAGGGCACCCCGAGAGGAATATGTGTTTTCCGGTGTAGAAATTTCGTATCCGGCCATCGCTCTTTTTCGAATCGCTGGTCACATTCATATTTACAATGTCACTTCTTTCTCTGTGCCAACTAACGCTTGTGCTTCTTCCCGTCACTTGATAAAATCTCGTTCGTCGAATTTCTGAATTACACTACCTGTATGGCACTCGGTTTGGTTATCAAAGGAATGCGTGATCTATAGTTTGCTACCTTTTATACGTCCTAGTTAATACGGGAAATATTATTGCATTTAATTTGCCTTAGAACAAAGACCATTAATGAAATTGCTTTTTCGAGCCGAATGTGTAGAATATATTTACTACCAATTTCAAAGCTAAGGTTAATGTATATATGTTTGTTATTCCCACGATTTTACGACGAATCTACTTAAAAATCGTTGATATTTATTTCTTTAATCATCAGCACCCTCGAAGACAAAACTTTAAGAGAATATAAGAATCCGCGTATCCACAAGTGTTATTTGTTCGATACAATCGTGTGAAATTGCGATGGAGTTAATTATTAGGACTGAACGAAAGTAACAATAAGGTCTGTCGTTAAATATGTTAGAGATAACAGTACAGAAAAATTGTCAAAAGCTTGAACTAATGGATTATAATAAATGAATGAAGATGTTGACTGACCGACATATTAACGGCTTTAGCTTTTCAATCATTGTAGGAGCATAAGAGTTAACATTGCTCTTACGGCACCCATTAAGATACGGTTTCTCTGATTTCTATCCCTTCAGATCGATCTGTACAGACCGTAGACGTCACGTACCGCACCGGAATCAAGCGAACTGGATGGGCCAGTTGGCCATTAGAGACAATAGCGTAGATAGAACTTCAAGAACGATTTTCTCGTTTTTATTGCTTAGAAGAACAGGAATGACTTAGAATATCTCTCCTGACAACGAAATTTATGCCCATGTGTAATTATACTTATGTATTATTCCGCCGTTCGAATTAAGATTAAGGTCAATCGCAGGCGTTTGTTACGACATGGCGAAGAGTGTATTTTGGGAGAATAAATTAACTACAGGAATAAAGTGTAATGTGTATTCGTAAAATTTTTACAATATGTCTAATGTGGTATCAATGACAAAATAAATTAGACATTATTTTAAAGAGGAAGAAAAACGCAAGTATCCATAGTAAGTTGACTATGGTGTAGTGAAAGTGGTGTAGTTTAAGTTTTTGGAACCTCTCCCTCGCGTCGGGAAGCGTTTCGATCGGGTCTTTTACAATCTTGCGACAGCTCGGGGCCATTAGCGCCATGAAACGATTTCAGTCTAACATTTTCAAATCAAATGAGAATTCCTCTAAATCGGTAGCATTCATGCGATTTATAATCCGGCAGTGTTCCCATGCGTTCTCCGGCTCGTATGATGTCCTCGACCATCTTTAAATCGCACGGTGGCGCGTAGAATTTTTCTTCGATCGGGTTCTTGCAATGATGAGAGAACACGCTCGACACATAGAAGAACGCTTATGTTTTTTGGGAAACAGTTCTCTTGTAATGCTCGGAACCAGGTTCCGTCGGAGTTTCCCGTGCAGGGAGACGTCCGGACGTTCAGAACGTCTATTTTTGTGTGATTCTTGTCTGTAACACGTATTAACGTGTTAACGAATAACGACACTCGTATACTCGCGAGAAAACTCCCGAACCTTACTATGCAGGATGCACCATTCGACTGACTGTGTCTCAAGTGCCCTGTGAACCGTTCGGTTAAAACTAACGCGACATGTCCCGTCCTTCTAAACATTCCGATACTAATCGTTTCTCCGAAGAGAACGTTTCAACAACGCATATCGGATCTATTCAAAACATTTCAAAAACATTTGACGAACGCTCAGACAAAATTATTCTTCGATTAACATCCACTGTCTTAAGAATGTCTCGCGAAAAGCGAGAGCATTAGGTATTAATTATAGAAATAAATTGTAATGCGTGTTTTTAATACTTTTATAATCCATTTATTGCGATATCAGTAACAGAGAACTACAAATTATCTTAAAAAGGAAGAAAAAGACAACCATGGAGATAATAGTAACCGTGATGTAGTGAAGAATTTTCAATTTTCGATACCTCTTCTTCGCATACGGAAGTGAGTCCATCGTATCGTTTATGGAGTACCGGAGGCATTCTATCCCTGCGAAGGTTGCATCATGCCAGTCTAACTGTTTCATGTCAAATAAAAATTCCTCTTCATCGGTAGTATTCAAACGATTTATCACGGTCTTCAGTTTATCCGTTTTTATGATCCAAGATGTACTTATGAAGTAATGCAGTATAAAAACCTGCTTGGTCGCCTTGTATGCAAGTTTCAACGCCCTGTGCAAAAAAATACACAGTCGTTAATCACGGCTAATAGCTGTCTCTATATTTATTAAGAAACTTACATTGGCTTCTTTCGCTGAATCATTAGAACCATATCAGCAATAATTGCAGGGAATACGTGGAGAAACACGTGAAGCAGAAGAAAGAGATAAATATTCGGAATAAATAACACGAACGGGTACCAGATCATCTTGGTCAATGGGTGTTCATCAACAGCACGGAAGAAGGTGTAAGATTGATCATGCATGTTAAACGGATTCCAATCCGAGGATGCATAATTATACACTTGTGGCCCGTTTGTTTCTCTTAATGAAAACAATTCGATTATTTTGGTACCTTTTTATGTTAACTATTAAAGGAGAAAATGTAATAGCGGCAATGAAATTGATGAACTGCACTACCTATTGACGGAGTAATCCCAGATCGCTGACAAAAGGCCATTAGTTGCCATATCAACCGGAACGTAGTCCGATATTACATCCGATCTCAAAGGCGCCAGATGAAACATGCCCAAAGCCACCAGCAATGTCAGTAGATAAGGACCATTCCTTGTATCTACCCATCCTCGATATGGTTCTCGTATCGCGTTTATAACTGTTGAAAAAATTCGCGATATTATTCACATTGTGTGCTGATCGTATCAAGACAAATACTTAATATTCTATACTTATACAGAGGCAAAACCTGAACTTGCAAATGTGCAATAATTATGCGAGATGATTATGAGCTGCTTTAAAAGTTCATGATGAACCCGTACTTATAGAAGGCCTGTAGATTAAGCACGGGAGCGATCTTCGCCTAGCAAAGTCCTCGACTACACCCTCGGCGACGGCTTTGCTGAACGCGTACTGGTTCAACCATTTCCCTATAATATCGTTGAGCGCTTCCTTCGAAAGTCCGGCAGCGTTCTCCTCGTCGGCTCGTATGATGTCCTCGACCATCTTCAAATCGCACGGGGGCGCGTAAAATTTTTCTTCGATCGGATTCGTGTAATGATGAGAATACGCGGTCGACACATAGACGAACGCGTTTAAATTCAGGCATTGAGCCGCTAGTTCGAGCATCTTCTGTGTTCCGAGCACGTTGGTTCGCAAAATAAGAGACACCTTCGCCTCAAAGTACACCACCGACGCGTTGTGAATAATTATGTTCACGTTGTTCACCAAACGCTGACGATCCTCCGTCGAAAGGCCCAAGTCGGGTTTGCACAGGTCACCGTAAATCAGAATCACCTTCTCCGTAAAGTTTGGATTCATAGCACGCAACGTGTCGAACACCTGAAATGTTTTTACTAGATGCATTGTAACATTTATTTGTGATGATGAATATATATTAATGCGATAACATAATAATATAATGCGTTTGTAAAACTGCTCCTTATTTATTGTGAATGCTACGGGGCTGCAAAGCCCGTGGAATTAAGTACAATAAAATAAGAAAAATAATGTGATTATGGTATGCATGTACATTCGAAATTTATGGACAGCCATTGTTCCGTGATGGATTCTTGCTCAATTTCAGTCTCTAAAATTAGCCATTATTATTACAGCCACCAGTTGCCATTTACCCCGTACAATTTAAGAGAGCAAGTGAGTAGGATCAACTGAAAAAGTGTTGTAGAGTATACGTTTGAATTTGCATGTATCAATTTGGAACCGCTGACTAACCAGTGTGTAAAACCCATATTTTTTCTAAAAGATGTGACAAACAAACTATTCTGCTGACGGAGCTTCGAATAATTCAGGTGTTGTAGAATGATTTTACGCAATATCAAATAGTTGGGGTGACAAAATATTTGTTGCTTTTATTATTTGCTAATTTCGTTTTCACGAGAATTATTACGAGCAAAAGTTACTCACTTCCTTCTTAAAGAACCTGTCTATTCTTTCTTGTACAGAGAAACCTTTCTTCTCTCTGGTCATAATGTAAATATTGCCAATTTGAGTGCACGTCCTCAGGAGCTTCTCCAAGATGAGGCTGCCGTAGAAACCAGTGCACCCCGTGAGAAATACGTGTTTTCCGGCGTAGAAATTTCGTATCTGGCCATCGCTCTTTTTCGAATCGCTCGTCACATTCATTTTTAGAATATCACTTCTTTCTCTGCGATAACTAACGCTTGTGCTTCTTCCCGTCACTTGATAAAATCTCGTTCGTCGAATTTCTGAATTACGCTACCTGTATGGCACTCGGTTCGGCGGACGAAGAAATGCATGATCTGCTTGTGGTTACCCTTTATACGTGCTGGTTAAAGGAAATATTGTTGCATCTGATTTGCTTTCGAACAATAAATATTAAAGAAATTAGTTCACCGAACGCAATGTCTACAGTACATTACCTGCCAGTTTCAAAACTAAGTTTAATGTATTCATTTTCGTTATTTCCACGATTTTACGACGAATCTACTTAAAAATCGTTCATATCGCTTTCTTTAATCATCAGCCACCCTCAGAGAAAAATCTTTAAGAGAATGTAAGAATACGCGTATCCATAAATGTCGTCGCGTCGTCCGAAATTTGTTGAATACTGTTGTAAATCGAGGGATCGGATAGGTGTAGGTCTAACTACGATTGTATCTACTTTCCTTCCCTTGATTATTATATTTTACCTTGATCCGTTTACAGATTTCTCGAGCTTATTTCTACACACACTCTAACACACCGGCACGGCGACCACACACACACACACACACACACATGCCCCTCTCTCCACAACGTATATGCCCCCTATCTTAACAAATACAATCGTGTGTGAAATTGTATTGATCTCAATTATTTGGACTGAATGACGATAACAAGAAATAAGGTCTGTCGTTAAGTATGTTAAAGGTCAAAGTAGAGGAAAATCGTCGAAAGCTTGAACTAATAAACTAGAGTAAATGAATAAAGATGTTGATTGACCGGCACATTAACGGCTTTAACAAACAAAGCACTTTGGAGTCAGTCGGGTTTCGATGTTCGCCCGAATTTGGCCGACTGCGTTTGATACCCTCAAGAATTATAATAAACTATTAACCGTTTCTTTAAATAGTGTGGAGTGCAATTTATTTACCCGATATAATCTCCCACATATCTTTCCTGGCAACGAGATTGATGTACATGTATAAGTTTGTTACAACATGGTGAAAAGAGTATGTTGGGAGAATAAATTAACTACAGAAATAAATTGTAATGTGTATTTGTAAAATTTTTACAATATGTTTAATGTGGTATCAATGACAGAATAAATTAGACATTATTTTACAGAGAAAGAAAAACGCAAGTAACGCAAAGTGACTATCGTGTAGTGAAGTATTTTAAGTTTTTGGAAACTCCTTCTCGCGTCGGGAAGCGTTTCCAACGAGTCTTTTACAATTTTGGGACAGCTCAGGGCCAGGAGTGTCATGAAATGATTCCAGTCTAACAGTTTCATATCAAATGAAAATTCCTCTAGATCGGTAGCATTCATGCGATTTATAATACTCCTCAGATTGTCCGCTTTTATCACCCAAGATAAAGTAAGTCAACAGTCGAAACTGCTTAGTTGCCATGTATACCATCGTCGATGCCCTGAAAGAAGAAATAAATAATTGTTGCATACATAGATACGGATGATAGCTGCGCAATGAAATATATTTAACTGAATCGAGTTTGCATAATTGTTACAAAACGTACCTCGGTTTCTTCCGTTGGATCATTAAGGCCACATCAGTAATGATTGCAGAGAACGTGGGCCAGCACGTGAAATGCAAAAAAAAGATAAATATTCGGAATAAAGAGCACGAATGGATACCACATCATCTTGGCGGATGGGTATTCTTCAACAGTACGGTAAAATGCGGACATGTGGTTATACGATATTAACGGGTTCCAGCCAGACGATGCATAATTGTACATCTGAGGATCGTTCCTTTCCCTTAATGAATGCGATACGATAATCAATCAATTATGGGTTTTCTTTGAAAGAGGTAAAATAATTAGGGTTGTGAAATCGCTGAATAATGGTACCTGTTGACAACTTAATCCCAAATCGCAGACAGGAGGCCGTTAGTGGCCATGTCGACCGGAACATAGTCTGATTTTCCATCCGATCCTATAGGCAGTGCATGTACCAAACCCAAACATACCAGTGATGTTGCAACCATAGGACTATTTATCGAGTCCAGCCATCCAGGATACGGTTCCCGTATCGCATTCATAACTATTTAAAAAAATTACGATATTATACGTATTATATGTTGATCGTATAGAGACAGATATTTAATATTCTATTTTTACGCACACTTGTGCGACAAAACAAGAACGTAGAGATACAAAAGTGAATCACAATCACCTTCTCCGTAAAGTTTGGATTCATAGCTCGCAACGTGTCCAACACCTGAAATTTTTTACCAGATGCGTTGTAACATTTATTTGTGATAATGAATTATATTGTGAGCTGAAGAACTGAATTTGAATAATTCCATGTCTCGCGCATATCATTTACAATTATGATTTCAATTTAATTAAAGTGCCAATCTTATGCAAGGAAGTTCACGTTTACGTAAATGCCGCTTTACATTCTTTCGGCTTCTCTCATTCTTTCTTGTGTTGTGGACGTTACAGGACTGTAAAGCCCGTAGTATTAAGTAAAATGAAATTACAACAATAATAGGATTAGGGTATGCATGTACATTCGAAATTTATGGATAGTCATCATTCCGGGATGGATTCGTGCTCAATTTTAGTCTGTAGAATTAGCCATTATTATTACAATCACCAGTTGCCGTTTACTCCGTAGAATTTAAGAGAACAAGTGAGTAAAATCAAGTGATAAACTGTTGTACGGTGTACGCTTGATTTTACGTGTATCAATTTGGAACCGCTGACTAACCAGTGTGTTAGACCCATATTTTTTATAAAATGTGTAATAAACGAACTATTCTGCTGACGAAGCTTCGAATAATTTAGGTGTCCTAGAACGTTTTTACGCAATATCAAATAGTTGAGGTGACAAAATATTTGTTGGCTTTAACACTTGCTGATTTCGTTTTCACGAGAATTATTACGAGCACAATGTACTCAATTCCTTCTTGAAGAACCTCTCCATTCTTTGTTGCACGGAGAAACCTTTCTTCTCTCTGGTCATAATGTACACGTTGCCAATTTCGGTGCACGTCCTCAGGAGCTTCTCCAAGATGAGACTGCCATAGAAACCAGGGCACCCCGAGAGGAATATGTGTTTTCCGGTGTAGAAATTTCGTATCCGGCCATCGCTCTTTTTCGAGTCGCTGGTCACATTCATATTTACAATGTCACTTCTTTCTCTGTGCCAACTAACGCTTGTGCTTCTTCCCGTCACTTGATAATATCTCGTTCGTCGAATTTCTGAATTACGCTACCTGTATGGCACTCGGTTCGGCGGACGAAGAAATGCATGATCTGCTTGTGGTTACCCTTTATACGTGCTGGTTAATAAAGGAAACATTGTTGCATTTGATTTGGTTTAGAACAATGAGTATTAAAAAAATTATTTCGTCAAGTCGAATGTTTAGAATTCATTTTCCAGCAGTTTCACACGTCAATTTACGCATTTTCCACGATTTTACATCGAATCTAATTAAAAAACGTTCATATCGCTTTTTCTAATCGTCAGCCATCCTCAGAGAAAAATCTATAAGAGAATGTAAGTACCCGCGAATTCACAAATGTTATCGCATCATTGTTAATTAATTGAATACAGTCTTGCAAAATTGCGTTGAAGTTAATTATTTGGACTGAACGATGATAACAATAAGGTCTGTCATTAAATGCGTTATTGATAAAAATAAAGGAAAATTGTCGAACGCTTGAACTAATGGATTATAATAAATGAATAAAGATGTTGACCGACCGGCATATTAAAGGCTTCATCCTTTCATTTGATTGTAGTATGATAGTTAACATTGCTTTTACGGCACCCATCATGATACGGTTTCTTAGATTTCTACCCCTTCTGATCGATCTATACAGACCGCAGGCTTCCCATACCGCCCCGGAATCAAGCGAATTGTCGTATCTGGCTATGGCTCTTAATTGAATGGTTCGTGGAATTTGTAAAACGTTACTTCTTTGTGCGCAGTAACTTAAACTTGTATTGTTTCTCTTCGAATCACGCTATATGTGTATGGCACTCTGTTCGGTATTCGTTGCATGCAAATGCAAAATCTTCGTGAAAAGATTGAAGGAGACTTAGGTATAATATTATATGTTAATATAGTCTGTAAGATGATTTATATGTTTATTTTTTATTGTTCGCATGTATTTGTACACAAGGAATCAAATATAGATTTTTTTTTTCAAGAGTTTTATTCCTATTAATTCTTAATTATAAATTAGGCTGGACGGCGCAGAAAATAATCAGTTTCATCACATTGTGCATTAAATGCGTGATATGTGTGTTATAGTTATTTATTTTTGTGCCTGTAATATGTAACAAATTAGAAGTAAAAATTTAATTTTACGTGATTATGACTTCTCTTTATTTCTTCATTGTTATTGTAATCTGTCACTTAAAAATCATTTTCCGTTATATTACTTTCCCTCTGCTCCAGTCTATAGTATACATACATATGTATAGTCAAAGATATACATGGACTGCCCGTAGCATAGGCTTGCAATGCTAACGTGCCATCGCCAACATCAGGTAGCCAAGCTCCGCCTTCGGGACCATCATGTGACCAAACAGCGGCAATTCCGAAACACTAAATGGAAATAGTATACAGTATACATGCCCTTAAAAATCTCAAATCGTATTATTTTTCAAATCGTGGGTCTACTACATTTGTAAATTAAGTCTTGTTTTATGTTTTCAAAACGAAAGGTATTTGAGAATGTAAAATAATGAAA